AATCACGTAAAGAGTTAGAAAATATCGCAGACAATCCAAATATAGTCCGGATTCAACACATAGGTTTTAACGAAGCAAATTGGTAAATCAAAAAATTCCAAACAACCCTAATTTAAGGAGAAAAAATACAGCCTTACCATGAATAGTCAGAATGAACATAGACATATAGAATCAGTAGAAAAGTTGAATCAAGAATCTTAGTAGAGGCATATTAGGATAAGAAAATCACGAGACATCTAAATGGCTAAAGAAAAATCACAAGAACCAAGGCAAAACAAGGTCGGTACACAAGTACTCAGAAATCAAACAAAGAATGTCGGAAAATTAGGGATTTTAGTATAAACAGGTTAAGGTTAGAGCAAACCTAACAAAATCGGTTAAAACATATAGGAAACAGAAGATTAAACACTCAAAATTATCAAATGTTTTGAAAAAAGAAATTTACGGAAACCCTAGTTTAGAGAAAAATGAAAAATTATCCGAAAATCAGACGATTCTTGTAAATAATCAAAAGGTTCTTGCAAAACTCATATGAAATAGGTCGAAACCATCTCAGATCTGTGCAGATCTAAGAAGTTCAGAAGGAGGAAATTAGGGTTTCGAGAAGAACAACACAGCGGTGAAGAAGCAAGCTTAGAAACCCATAGATATAGGAAGATCTTACTCGGAATCAAACTAGAACAGCCTGAAACAGGCGAGAAAGGGCCATAGATGCAAAAAACTAACCCTGGTCCCTCGAGGACCATAGAGATAGCAATACCAACGTACGAGAGGCCATTAGAGGCTTGGTGGTGGTGGGGAAACACCATGAAAGGGAGCAGATGACCGACGATGTGGGTAAATTAGGGTTAGGGCTTGAGAGCTTTTGGAGAGGAAAGGGATTTCAGGGCGGCGGTTGGTGAGAAATGAGAGGGTTTGGGGGGTTGTTTGGAACTAAAAAATGAAGGGGTTAATTGTTGTCGTCGATCTCTATGATCAACGGTCGAGATTGAATGAGATTGGGGCCGGGTCAAGCATTAAGGTTTGGGCTAGGTAGGTTTAGGTTAAAATTGGGCTAGGTATTTTGTCAAATTTGGATCGGAATTGAAATAGAAAATAGGGCCAGTTTTTTAATAGCTAATTTTAATGACTAAATAATTTATAAAAATAATAAATGAGTACCAAAAAATATCTTTGTGCAATAAAATGATTTAAAATATTTATTTAAAATTTTAAAAATATAAAAGACCATTTTATGCATAAATAATATAATTATACATTAGTATGGGCTATTATTGCAAAGAAGTGCAATTTAGCCTAAAAATATAAATGTAATTATAAAAATGCACTATTATTATTTAAACACTATGTTGGCATAAATTATGAATTTAGATAGCTAAATCATCAGAAAAGTAGTATGAAGGATAATTTATTGGATATTTATATAATAAAAGGAGAAGAAATAAATTGATTTGGAGCTTTTAAACTATAGAAAAAATTATAAAAATACTTATGCATGCTTAACTGCATATGTAATATTTTGAAAGTATATATATTTATATATATATATATATATATATATATATATATGTTTAAAAATATGTGAGAAAAAATGGGTATCAACACCCGGAGTAGGCATCGAGAAACTGAGGATCTAGTGGTCGGCCGTGGCATCGATCATGCGATCGATGTTAGGCAGGGGAAAGAGTCTTTGAGGCATGGCTTATTTAGATTTTTATAATCCACACATTCTTAGTTCGTTCCCTTTTTTAGGGACTACTACTACGTTTGCTAACCATTTCGGGTATTTGACCTCCTGGATGGACCCTATTTTAAGGAGTTTAGTTACCTTGTCCTTGATGAAAGCATGCTTGATCTCGGACTAGGGTCTCCTTTTCTGCTTGACCGGATGGAATTTCACGTCCAGGCTCAGCTTGTGAGTGGTGGTCTCCAGTGGGATCCCTGTTATGTCGAGATGGTACCAAGCAAAACAATCCATGTTAGATAAAAGAAATTGAATGAGTTTTTTTCCTGAGCTTGAGAGTTAACCCCGTGCCCAGGTATACCTTCCGATCTGGCTGATGTTCGATCAGTATGACCTGCTCCAACTCTTCGACCGTTGATTTGGTAGCTTCGGAATCATCGGGGACTATAAAGGATCGAGGAACCCTGTAATCATCGTCTTCGTCAGTCCCCTGTTTATCCGGTTGGGTCGAGGCCGGCATCGGTAATTGCTATTTGGCTTCATGTTTTGCTTTCGAACCTGGCTCATGTATCGATGAGAGTGTTGATATCGGAATTATTTCATCGATGGCAAACATCTCCTTTGCAGCGAGTTGCTCCCCGTAGATCATTTTAATCCCCTCTGGTGTTGGAAATTTTAACACCTGGTGAAGGGTCGAGGGCACAACCTTCATGTTGTGGATCCATGGTCTCCCGAACAGGGCGTTCTACCTCATGTCCCCTTCGGTCACATAAAACTTGGTCTCCTAGATGGTTTCGGCTGCGTTTACCGGTAACGTTATTTCCCCCTAAGTAGTTTCGCAAGCCATGTTGAATCCGTTTAGCACTCGGGTTGTAGGTACGATTTGGTCCTGTAGGCCGAGTTTTTCTACGACCCTTGATCGAATGATGTTGGCCGAGCTACCTGGATCAATTAACACACATTTAACTAGAGATTTATTCATGAGTACAGCTATTACCAGTGTATCGTTATAGGGCTGCATGATTCCTTCTGCGTCCTCGTCGTTGAAAGACAAAGTTCCTTCTGGTATATAATCTCGAGTTCGTTTCTCCCTCGTGATGGATACTTTGGTGCGTTTTAACATCAAACCTTGAGGAACATCAAACCATCCGATGATCATATGAATGACGTGTTAAGGTTCTTCTTGCTCGATTTGTTATTGGAGTCCCTGTTTCTGAAATGATTCTTGGCTCGATCGCTCAGAAATTCCCGAAGGTGCCCGTTGTTGAATAACTGGGCTACTTCTTCTCTCAATTGTCGACAATCCTCCGTTATGTGGACATGAGTTCCATGATATTTGCACATTTGGTTGGGATCTTTTTGGGTTGGATCGGTCGGTTTGTAAAGGTCTAGGCCATTTGGTATCTTTGATGCGTCCGATAGCCGATACGATGGCAGTCGCGTCAACATTAAAGTTGTATTCTGATAATCGTGGTGCTTTATTAGGTCCGATAGGCCTGTCGAAGCCGTTCTTGCTCATGAGCCCTCGAGAGCTCTGACCTCGATCGCTTCTCCTTTCATTACGCACAAACTTCGCCCAGATCCGTTGTTTCTATGATCTCCATTATATGGATGGTACCGATCTCTGTTCAACCTCGGTTCTCGGTCACTATCTCTCTTGATTCTATCGACGGGTCTGATAAGATAAATGGACCCGGAAGGAGCCCCAAGTTGATCGTCTTCGACCCTGATCTTTGATTGGTACTGATTATGCACATAGGCCTAAGTAACAGCCAGGTACTCTATCAGATTCTGCTTCAACTGTTGTGAAGCCACCGAGCTTCGAATATTGAGTCATTGGGTAAAGGCTTGAAAGTCCCAATCATCAGCGACCAGTGATAGGTTCATCCGTTCCATTTGGAATCGAGACACGAATTCTTTGAGCATTTCGTTGTCCTTCTGTCTTACCTTAAAAAGGTCCGACTTCCTGGTCTCAACCTTGATAGCCCCGGCGTGTGCCTTTACGAAAGAATCTACAAGCATAGCAAATGAGTCAATAGAATTAGGGGTAAATTGTGATACCATATCATACCTCCCTTTGACAGGGTCTCTCCGAATATCTTTAGTAAGACAGATTCGATCTCGTCATCCTCTAGATCATTGCCTCTGACGGCACAAGTGTAAGAGGTGACATGCTCGTTCGGATCGTTCATTCCATTGTATTTAGGAATCTCGAGCATGCAGAACTTCTTGGGGATCGGCTTGGGAGACGCGCTTGGGGGAAAAGGTTTTTGCACGAAGTTTTTGAAATCCAGTCCCTTCAATATTGGCGGTGCTCCCGAGGTTTGATCGATCCTGGAGCTGTAAGTTTCCACCTTCTTGTCGTTTGCCTCAATCTTCTTTTCCCCCCGACTCAATTCGTTTTGTTAGTTCCTCGAGCATATTCATGATTACAGGATTGGTCCCCAATTCTTTCTCGTTCGATTCCTTTGAGATCGATTGAACTCTGTGGATAAGTTCCTGGGACGGCTCGAGCCCAATCCTACTCGATGGGCGATTCCGATTTTGGAGATGGGCTATCGCTGCCTGTTAAGCCTGTAACATTTTGAAGATCATCCGCAGGTTGATTTTGCCATCTTTGCCGCCATGTGTGCTTTGAGCAGCTGATCGAACATCCCTAAGGACGCTGCCCTCGGGATCAACGGCCAAATTTGCGTTGATGGCTACATGTGAGTTAACATCGATTGGATCTACACCCAGGACTCCATCGAGATTGACCGGGAGTACGTCGTTCCCCAGAGCTATGTTATCATTTTCGTCGTGGTGGCCGAAATCATTGTCAACGTGTAAGGGTGCTGACTGAGAATTCGACATTTTGGTCCTGGAATCAAAGATACTCCAAAGAACAAGTGTAAAATGGTATGTGTTATAAAAGCCTGTACCAGGTAACCACTATTATCTTTAGCTCCACGGTGGGCACCAAACTGTTTACCCTAAAAAACGAATAACAATTGAATTTATACGCGGTCTTAAGGATACGCGATATAACTTGATACAAATTGCGAAAACAGATTAATATTGAAATTAATGACAGAAAAATGAATGCAAACCACAAGAGTTGAACAGTGTTAGCCTTGAAGGTTAGTCACCTTTGAGCCAGAAATTGCCTCAATCGATGTCAGAACAGAGTAGCAAAGTAATCAGAACTGGAAATAATAATATATTGCCTTTGAATGCGTGTTACAGTATGTTTTACAAATGATCAGACCCCCTTTATATAGTAGGGTATTCCTACTCTAAATACAACTCTATAAAAGGTAGGGAATCTCATAATTTTCTAACTAATCGGCCTCTCCCTGATACGTGCCGAGATTTCCGCCGTGATAACCGACCGATTGCGGATATTCCGGCCTTCTGTTATTTGGCCTGATAAATTTTCTTCTATCTTATTCGGAGTCGGGGTCGGTTCCGGAGTCATGGGCTCAATGATCTGACTTCGTATTTTGATTCGATACAATCCGGGGTCGAGCTTCGACCCGCCACCTTTCATCCCTGACCGATCATGATATAGACGAGCACCAATTTCTAACGTATACAGCTATAGAAATAGAATGTAGCAACAGATAGCCTCTCTTCGTCTGAATTTACAACTGCTCTGTGCTCAATGCTCCTATAAACACCATCGTTCACTATCTGCCAAGTCAATTCACACATTTACACAAATTATAACTTGCGCAGCAAAACTGTAATTATCACTACGTTATCATCCTTTGAAAAATCAGTTACTCAAGAAGGAAATGGTGATTTACCTCCATCATGTCGCCGATATTCACAATCAACGCATTTGGGAGGGGTATTCTTATTACAGGCATCCAGATACAGTCTTTTCGGACTTGGAGACCTTCAGTTTCATTCCATGCTTTTTTTTGTTAATATCCTAATTCCAATGCCATCTATTCATATATTTTGTTGGTCGAAATGGAGGTCACATACGTGATCCAAAGTGAAAAAAGAACAATTTATAGTTTTCAAATATTTCCGAGGAATTGCCCGCAGCCACGTGCTATCTTCACAATTAGGCCATTCGCATTTCACACATGTGTATATTACTATATTATATACATATAATATATTTTATATATTTTTAACTAACGAAAGTAATTAGTTTTAACCGACCGGTCAATTTATATTTTAGCCAAAAGAATACGTAGATGGAAAATGATAAAAGGAATAGGATAGGAAGAAAACTATAAATGTGGAAATGTCTAATAGGATATAAGGTGGAGATGTCTAATAGGATACAAGGTGGAATTAAATAGAAAAAAAGGTAAATGAAACAACAGGGTTTATAAAATAATAAGTAAAGGCGTAACAAGAAAGAGATATGATATAACGATTTCACCCTACTGTATCGATTGTTACATAAAATTGATTTTTTTTTATTACGTAATAATGGATTTAAAAATACAATACATTAATAAATAAATACAATCAAAACGAACATTAATTTTTAGAATAACAGTTCGACAATATAGAAATACACAATATAATACAATAAAATATAGTATAGTATAATCAGAGACGAAGCTAGGATTTTAACCTTACATTCTGGATTTAGTATACAACTTTAAAGTGTTAGTTATTGGATTCTAAATTTAATATCTCAACTTATTTGATGAATTTTAAATACCAAATACAATGTTTGAGCAAAAGCTACTAGATTCAGCAGAACCCATAATTCGGCTTGTGCCTCCACCCCTAAGTATAATATAGTTTAATACTATCTGATACAATACAATACAATACGAGGAGTACCAAACAATTCAAACACCCCTAAGTATAATATAGTTTAATACTATCTGATACAATACAATACAATACAATATGAGGAGTACCAAACAATTCAAACAAGCTGGAAGTGTAATTTATTAAAAGGTTCATATGTTATTGATAAGCTAATAAACCAAGTAGAGTATCAAATCCGACCTGGGATTCGTCATCCTTCGTCTCTAACTTCATGCAATCAATGAACAATTTTCCATCAAGTTTTCGTGCAAAAAATTCCTGCAAAAAATTTTCAACACGAATACTTCGGAATTTTGCAGGATTATGTGGTCCAATGAGGCTGTGTGCAGGACCTAACTCAGAGTCAAGATTAAAGATATTGAATGTTGCAAGAGATAGCCTTTCTTTGTTTGAGTTTACAACTGCTCTGTGCTCAATGCTCCTATAAACACCATTGCTCACTATCTGCCAAATCAATTAACACATTTACCTGAATTAAACACTTTCAAGAAAATTTAGAATTTTGAACATCTCAAGTAAGACTTAACATATAACAAGGAATTAAAAATTTATTTACCTCCATCATATCGCCAACATTGACAATCAAAGCATTTGGGAGGGGTTTAATAGGAACCCAAATACCGTCTTTTCGAACTTGGAGACCTTCAGTATCATTAAGCTGGAGAAGTATGGTGAGGGTATCAGAATCAGAATGAGGACTTAAGCCAATGGTTTTGTCTGGCTCAGGGCAAGGAGGATAATAATTCATCCTTATTGACTGCATACCATCTGTGAACAGATCTTTCATTTCCTTTTCATCCATCTTTAAAGCCTTTGCCAATTGACATAGGATGGATATTGCAGGCTCTTAATTTCTTGGTAGTGTGATTCCATGGTGTCCCTAAAGTATCCAATCATATCATACAAACATTAAATGTGGGAGGTGTTTAACCAAAAAAATAGATTTTTAGTCAAAGCTAGAATTTAGAAGAATACGGGTTACTGATAATCAGGAAAATATGTAGAGAAAGAAATTTGTGGATAATATGATCAGAAAGCAAGTAAATCAAAGTATATTCCAATAGTGTTTTCTTGTGTCTACAATTGTTTGGTCCTTCCCCTTTTATAGCTATTTTGGGGATACGAGCCTTACCTTTGTTATAATAAGGCTATTATGGGCAATTAATGACTTTAAATGTTACGTTATGCAATCATATACATTAAATACATATTCTCTAACATTTCCAGTATTTAATACTCATTAAATGTTGTATCTGGGCTCTTTTTTGCTGTTAGATTCATTCCTTTGACTCTTCACGATCTTTGACCTTTAAATGTCTTGAATAGGTACGAGCGTTGAATTACTTGTATGACTGCTCGCGCCTCCTCCATTTAACTTGCTCGTATCTGTTGTTGCTCGTATCTGTTAACCAACTTTAATTCTTTGACTGTTTGACCAATCTACGTGTCATGACACGTCACCATATACATATAAATACAATTTTCCCAAACAGATAGTCCCCCCACTTTCCATTTATTCATCAGTTTGAATATTTGGGAAATGGAATTCATTAAAGGAGAATTTTTGTTACTATTAATGCTCTGACAGAGTTGACGCTTCAATTATCACTTCCATTTAATGCATTAGACACGTGTCATCTTCTTATTGGTTCCACAGTTTGCAACACTTTCTCAGGCTTTCTTTTCGGCTCCACTGTTCATGAAGTACCAGTTACCATTATTGCGACCCTTCCATTACTGCATTTTTACTTTTGACGGTTACCCATCAGTATAAATACAATTTTACCTTTCACCTTTTACCACATAAAACTTTTTTCTCGAACATTTGAACTGTGCAAATCTCTGTTTACTTCTTCTTCTTCCTCATCATGTCTTCTTCGAACCCAAACCCTAGGAGAGTTCCTATTTTAGATAATTTTCCCAATGCCCCTGTTAGACATAGAAGGGGTGGGAGACTTTGTAGCTTAGGATCCTCTCGTGGTGGTGGTTCTGCCCATGCCTTCTCCTAGCCCTGGTTCTTCCTCTAGAACTAGAGGTTCTTTTACCCCAAAAATCATCTTCTAAGAGAAAGGAGGCCTCTGAACCATTACAGGAACCCTTGGTACAAGAGATAGTCCCTAACGATTTATCTTTTCACCATGATAGACAATCACTTCAAACCCAAGTTTCTGGTCTAGATCGTGCCGATGCTTACCCCACTTTGATTACAGAGATTTTAGCTTCCATAGTCCGCAAAGATTGTCATTGGAGTAACGATTTTCCCATTGTAATCCCCAATCTAAATCAAAGAATTACTTCCTATATGACTGGACTTTCTTTTATTTACACATACCCTTTTACTCTTGGTTTTAAACCAGCTATTGATCCAGTGATTCTCGATTTCTGTCGCTTCTTCAAAGTTTGCTTAGCACAGATTGGCCCGCTGGTATGGAGGGCTGTTGCTTGTTTAAGACATCTGGCCAATTTGGCAGATGTTAATTTCACCTTCCCTCACCTAATTCATCTATACTCCCCTAGACTTTTTCGCAATGGCGTCTTTACCTTAGTGGCTAGGAGTAAGAGGGTTTTGGTGAGCCCAGAAGATGATAAGGATCGTGGCTGGTATGCTCGATTTGTTGCTGCCCCCACAGTTGGTTTAGTGGGTGAACAAAACGTTCCCTTCCCTGAGAAGTGGAACTTTGCACGTAAGTCTCTCATCCCTCTCGTACCTTTTTCTTTCGAGTTTATCAATTCCTTTAACTTTATTTTTTTTTTAGCAACCATGGCAGTTGTGGAGAACGTTTCCAATTTTCGTGGTTGGGTAGATAAACTGTTGAAGATCGCGCCTATGGAGGCTAGGTCTTGGAAATTTATTTCCAATCGTCATGGTTGGAAAGTAAAAACTCACGGTATGAGCTTTTTTCTTTCTCGTATGTAAAAAATTTTCCCTTTATTGCTTTAACTTTCATCCTTCTCTTTGTCAGGATTTGCTATTCGAGGTGTTACTGCTGAAGCAGTTGCGGCCTCTCGTTCCTCTTCAGGAACTCAAATTTCTTTAGAAAGGGCTCAGGATATACTCTTGAAAAGAAAAACCATTGAAGAAGATGACTCCGAGGAAGAAGATGAGGATGGTTCCTTGATAACAAGGCCAAGAGTTAGGAGACGTATCGTCTCTGATGAAGCTGAAGTTTCTCATCATCTTTCTCCGACCGAGCCTGTTCATCTCGTTTCTGATGATGACGTTGTTACCCCTTGTGACACTCGTGATTCTGTTAACTAGCTTTTTGTTAGTGGTTTCGAGAGTGGTGAGTTAGGGCCTGTTTTAGACGAACTTCCCTTGTCTTCAACTCCCATATCTTCAATTCCTTCTTTTCCTTCTCCTATCGTGCCTTTGATCCCTTCCTTACCTACTCCATCTGCTTCTGTACCTCTCTCTGCTGTTTTTACTTCTTCTACCGCTCCTCCTTTGGCAGTTCATCCTTCTACTACCCATCATCCAGAAGAGGGTTCTTCAAATAGAAGCGTTGCTATGAGGAGCGTGACTATCGAAGTTCCTGCTAACAACAGCCTTCTGAGGAAATCTGGTCAGGCAGATATTTGGCTTGAGCCCCTAATTGGCCCAATTGATAAAGAAAAAATGAATAGCCATAGCTGTCTGACTTTGATGAACGACATAGTTCATGCTACCTTGAAGGTATTTTCCTTCTTTCTTTACTTTGCAAAATTTTTCTCTAGAATTCTTATTTTCCCCCCTTATCATTTTCAGGCCAATCTCATTGGTACAGAGCTGATGAGCAGAGTTTCTCTATTAGAAAAGGTGGCACGTGACTCTGAAAAGGCGGTTCTTGATTCAGAGAGGGTAGCTCGTGACTTTCAGTTGGAAGCGGCTAATTGGAAGGAACAATTCAATAGTGCACAAATTACTATAGAAGATTTGCAAGAGAACAAGAATAACCTGGAACAGCAGATAAGAGCATTATCCTCAGAGCTTGCGGTTGCCAAGGCTTCTTCAAGTCAGGCAGAGAAAGAAAGAGAGCGTCTCGAGTCTTCTTTCTCAGAGCAATTATCTAAGGCAAGTGAGGAGATTAGAGAGTTGAAAGCTCTTTTAAGTCAAAAAGAAGTTTATGCTGGAGATTTGATACAGAATTTGACTCAGACACAAGAAGATCTGCGAACTTCTGAGGGAAAGGTGCATGCCTTAGAAAAATCTCATGCCTCTCTCCAAGCCTCTTACAACTTAGCTTTGGCTGAAAATGAAGAACTCAAGAATGAAATTGTTACTTGGGAAAGAGATTATGAGCTTCTTGAAGATAAGGCTGCCGTTGATGTAAGCTGGGCTTTTCTGAACTCTCGGCGTGATGCTTTAGTCGAAGCTAGCCAAGAAAACTTCAATCTGGAGTCAGAGTTAGCTAAAGTTATGGAGACCATTGAAAAAGCTAAACAATCACTGGACTTCCCTTCACCCGCGATTGAAGTTCCCGAAGCTGAAGTTCCCATGAAAGCTGAAATTGCCTCGGGTGTTGTACCTTCTTCAAGCCCAACCGTGCCTCTTGTTGCAAGCCAGGCTGAGACTTCGTCTGTTGATGCACCAATTGCTGCGATTGAAGATCAACCCGCTTCTATCGACGATGTTGTTCCAGTTGAGCCTGCTGATGATCCTTCCTCGGTTCTTTCTTCTTAGTGAAAAGATTTACATTTGCTTTAAATTCCCTTTTTGCAGGTACCTGTTTGGAAAACTTTGTTTAAAGTTTTTGGATTCTTTTGAAAGTTTTTGTTTGTAATCAAACCCTTGGTTATCAGTTGAGGGTTGATTTTAGAAGTACAAGTCCCCAAGTCTTGTCAAGGGGATTTTTGTATAAACAGCTTGACGACTAAGTTTATACTTAGTCTTTTAAGAAGTGTTTATTAAACTTTCGTCTGTTCTATTCTTGCCTTTTATTTTCAAGGACTTAATGAATAGTCTGCATTTTTGTTTTTTGAAAATGCTTTTGTTAATCTCATGACTAAATAACATGAGTTCCATAAAAGAGGGCCCTTTTATATTTCGACACTTAATGAAGAAGACGTCTCAACTTCATAATGGTGTTAACATACGATAAAAGAAATAGGAACACACATGTTTCTTTGGAATAACATTGACAAGTTTTTATTTTGAGCCTTGACAAGTTTTGAATAACATCTTACATGTATTTGAATTACATCTATAACTTTCTCGTAACTGTTTTTCCTTGTAACAGATTTTTAAGAAAAAATAATAAACACGAGGTTTTTCTTTATAACCCGTTTTAGAACAATAAATGCAAGGTTTTTCTTTACAACCTGCTTTAGTACATAGCTTTTACCCTAACTACAGTAAGGTTTTCTTTTTTTTCAGGCTTGATTTTTCTTCAATCTTCTCTGCCCTCTTTATATATACTTGTGTATATTATGTAGTCCCCCAAGTGTTTGAGTGTTGAAGTATGAAGCCTCGAGCACTTGATAGTTTCTCTCATTTGGTCCTTTTCCTGAAAAGAAAATACATACGGGACTCGGAGGTACGAATATAGATGAAGACTGCTTAACCCGTTTAAATTTCTATCAGAATAATTGTAACCCTGGGCCAGGAATTTTAGTTTATTCCATTTTGCCTTACAGGTCGTGACTCATCATTTAGTACGGGTTAGCGTTTTGCCTATCATCTAAAATCGTTAGTAAAATTTCAACAATTCAAAAAATAAAATTTAACATGGTGATACCTGACCGTGGGTTTTTCCTTAGAAGTAGTATCTCTTCAAATGAACAGCATTCCAATGTGAAGGAAGCACCTTCCCGTCCATTGTTTCCAATTCATATGCTCCTTTTC